TTTTATGAAAATATCCTAACATAATTTTTTTTTCCTATAAAATTGAGTATGAAAGCAAAGAAAGATAAAAGAACCCAACTAAACTTACATCCAAAAATAAACAAATTATTGTAACTTTTTAAAAGGAAAAGGTTATTTATTTGTTAATAGTTCACTATCTTAAAAAGTGGAATATTTTGGAATGATATAATGATCTAAATTTTCTTACCCAATAATCATGACTAGTTTAGAAAATTTCACATTGTTGGGATGATATGACACATTGTCATTAGAGTAAGAGTAGAAATTTTCAATAATGTGTTAGATAAATAAAATTCTAGAAAGATTTTTTATTAAATAGATTTGTTTTCTTGTATAGTCTAAAGAGGGGGAAACAAAGATTTAAAGGGAAAAGAGCAAAAGCATTTATCTCAAATTTAAGGAGTAACTTTTATACTATATAGATTTTTAATTATAAAAAATTTAGGCTTCATTTTAGATAGCTTTTTTATTGCTTTTTAAATCAGATTTTTAGTACTAAAATTTTTAATTCAAAAAATTTTTGTATTACAAATTTATTTTAGAAAGTAATAAAAAATCTATCACAAACGAAATCATAATTGACAATGGCCACCACTGATTTAGTTTGATGAGATGAGAAGTTTAAGGGTTGGTCCTCTTGTTTCATCTTTAGACTTGGATGGTCCAGTCATAAATAATTGACTTAATTTTTAATAGTCTTTCAAGTGTATACACTCTTTAGGTAGCTCTAGTGTTTTTTATTGCCATTTAGGGAAGTTTAGAAAGTAATTAATGGGGTGTTGACCTTAATCAATGAAATTATTATAATTGCTATTTGGTAAAAATTTTGTGATGGTAGAATATGTGTTTTATTTCTTAGTTTTGTATAAAAATTCAATGTGCATAGATAGAAATTGTATGAAGTCAAAAAACATTTACGAGGAAAGCCCAAAAAGGAAAAAACCACAAGATTTGCCTTAGTGAATGAATCCACTAAATAATAGCATATGTAAGTATCTTATGTTCTTTATAATTGAAGAATATGATATTATATATAATTAAGAACAATTATTTGATTCTTGTTATAAAGATTATTATACATAAATTGAGTCCCAACAATTGAACTGCTAAAGCACATTAATATAGTTAATAATCAAGTGATAATCCTGAAATAACAGAACTATGGCAATGATAACAACACTAGTTAATGGTGGTCATCTCTTGTGATTGTCAAAATATGCAGTAGAGTTTTTTTAGTTCTCCCAACTTTCAAACATTTCGTCCTCTAAAAAATGTGGTCTTATTTATAGCTCTTTTGAGAAGGGCATTTGGATAAATTTTGCTAGAATCCAAAACACTCCATCAAGCGATCTATATGTGCCCCTAAATTATAAATTATTTATCAACATTTAAGTGCCTTAATGATATCAGAATCAAATGATATTAGGATCGTTGAATTTGTCTTGTCGAGCTGCTCTATTTGACTACAAGAATGCAAGATTTAGAAACTTATTTGTTCTTCAACTAATATTTAAAATTTTCAAAATATGCTTCGAATGTTTAATTTGGATTCATATGGACTCAATTAAAATTTTTGTTGTGTCCATGAGTTCTTTTTGCTAATACATCCAGTTTGACTATATATTTGTTGACATTAAAGTTCAAGTGGTCCTGAATTTAATTTTAAAATTTTCAATTCAAATATTGACTTGAGATTCACGCAAATCAAGCAAATCTTTTTAGAGACATGTCAATAGGCAAGGTGATATAGGATGTAGTTATGTTGAGCTAGCCAAATGGTAGCACATGGAAGTTAGTGGCATAAAGCCCAATGGTTATCAAAGACTCTAAGCATGTCACTCCTAAACAACCCTTGAAGTAGGGTCAAGAGAAGAGGATTTTTGTCTTCAAAATTCTAAACTTATAAAGTGTGTATACCTCCTATCATTTATTGAGTTTTTTTTATATCTAATTTTACTCCTAGCTATGTATATATAATATTTTTATATATGAGAAAAATTAATTTTTAGTATAACTAAAAATATTAAATAAATTTAGAAATAGTAACTCATAGAACCTTATATTAGTTATATAAAAATGAGAGATAATAAGAAGGTTAAATATATCTATTTCATGATTTTATTATAGACAGATGTATTTTCGTCCTCTATTTATACTAGGATTAAAGTTTTGGTTATAGATGATGATGATATTTTAATTTAATTTAATTTAAGTAAAAAATGAAATATGTAAATATTTTTTATTGTAATTTTTAAACTGAAATTATTATTAGGAATTTTATTATATCATCAAATAATAAAAAGTTACTGTAAAAGTGGAATCTTATGAAACCTGTTTTTATAAGATATTTGTTTAAAAGTTATTTAAAAATTAAAACTTATACTAAACAATAATATGCTAATCTCAAAATATTTTGTACATCATTGCATACAACTACATTTATATACTTTTGATTAATCATTTCAAAATATGAATTGCATTTACTGTGAATTATTGTCATTTTTGTGCTTTTAATTTGGAATTTTATAGGGTAGCACTTTACCTATAATATGTAAGAATATATATATATATATATATTCGTAAAATGTGATATGAATTTTTAGAGACTAATGTAAAATTATTAAATAAATAGTTTTATTCTATTAGATAATCATTTTTTTAATTTATATTAACTTTTATTATTGAAGAACAATTAAAATACAATCACAAATAATCGATATACATAATTAGCCGTTTGGTGGTCGTGCCCTAATTCGGTTCAATTAACACATATGTACTTCCTAATTTTAGAAAAAATATTAAATAATGAGATATACAAGAATAGGAAAAAAAAGGCATATTCACCCAAAATAGCAAGTTGATTTTATTTTAGGAAAGCAACTCTTCTAAACCAATAAACTTTTGTTATTTTGTCATTTTGAAAATGAATAAGCATTAAAAATGGACAACCAAACGAGGTTACTAATAACCGTGTTTTGCGCAACAAACCATGCCTATAAAGCCTCATATGCTTGGCTTATTTCTTTAAGTTCTCCAAATGGCAAATTCAAAGCTCTATTCTCATGGAGACTTCTTCTTCTCTACTCCCATGTTATACTCTTCTCAATCTCTTCTACTTTTTTCTTCTAATACAGAAGATTTCTCTAGTATCAATACGTGGGCTTACCTGAGAATATGATTTCATCGACGTTGTGTCACTACTACCGAGCAGCTCCTGCTCCGTGCCTCATAATGGTATGCTTGGAATTTCTTAATACAACATTTGAATTTTTTTTTTGTAAATTAAATAAATTAGTAATAAATTTGTAGAAACTAAGCTCATTTGATAAATATAAAAAACTTACAGCAAATTCAAAGAAAA